AAGTAGCATTTTCAAAGTAATAAAACAACAATCATTTCACAATTCTTTCCCTGCATTCGAGAATTCCTTCATCGTTTTATTCTTACGTTAAGTTCCTCGAAATGTTAATCCGCAATTGGCGTTGTTGCACTTTCATATTATAGATTTTTTAGCACTTTTAGCTTCTTGAGATTTCAGGAGACCTTCCGCTCTCTTACTACACCGTCTGCGATTATGTATGAAGCTCAAAACCCAAGCAGCAACTCTTAGAGAATGCTGAAAAGTTTACTTCATCATGAGGGCATTAAGCTTGGTTGCATGCAATGGGATGTTCTTAAAGTGCTTATGGCAAGGAAATTTTGCTAGTTTAATTATGTTTGCAATGAACAGAACTTTTAAAATAACAGTGTACTTTCTAAAACAGTTAATACATACCGCTTTTTCTTGGTTTTTTCCATTTCATCTAACTTGTGACGTCATATCGCATAATAAGTTAACACAATGTTTTAAATACTTTTCAATTTCCTGACAACTTTAGGCTCATTCTAATAGGCTGCATTTTATACCATTAACAACGTCACAGCAAAGGAAGCTCTGTCCTTCTTAAATAAATTATCGTTAAATATACATAATACTCCTAGTTCTAAGTACGCAATTTGACGTCCCAAGTAACAAAAATCGGACAAAGCAAAAACCTCAATATTGCAAGAAATAAAAGTGATATGAACAAACTATTTTAGGATCCACATTGTAATTTCAAAAGATTGCTTTAATAAAAGCACCACTCAGATAGCAAAAATTCGTGTCATTAGCACTTTATATCATCGAAACAACATCTTGGATCACCTTAACTTCAGTTTCTGCATTTAAGGTAGAATTTCTCTGAAGATTGCTTGGCCAGTTGTATTCATCTGCCAACCTGGGTCCACTTCACCGAAGTGATTTCAGTTCTCTTTATGACTTGCTAAATCAGCCGAACTCTCAGAGATTTTTACATGTCTTTATATTTGTCGATTAGTTTGACGTATAAGGGAGTTCAAGAACCCTGAATGCCTCTCTATACTAAAACTAACTTTAACCGGTAGAAGATGAGAAAAATGTTACCAAAACTTTAGCTATGTTCGTCTCTAGTTTGGCACGAAGACAGGTCTTAATCAATAGTTTTTCTATTATAATATCTTAAGATATCTTTTCTTCTCATTTTTCAATGTCTAATAAAGGTTTAAGAAAACTTCTTGAAGAGTTACTATTCATGCAAATTTCGTCATTGTGCAAAACTCAAGATATTTGAATTTACAAATAACACTGGATAAACACCGAAAAAGTTTTATTGCATGGTCACACAAACTATTTACAAGCTGTTCATATGAGGCTCGAAATCATTTAATACCTCACTTAATTCCAAATAGCTGGGATCGAATGAATTTTACTTTAGGAAAGAGTGTGCAATTTTCAGTAATCTCATGTGATTACATTGAGTTTAAGAATATACTGAATGAAGTAAAGTTAGTTCTGGATCTCTTTATTTCTGTCTAAGAAGACACAGAGGTTGATAAAGAAATTTTGACGGTAAATTTTTAACGCTTTTGCATATGGTCATTTATTGTATATGCCACATTAACAGGGCATTCTAAGGACAGAAAATTTGTTGCAATTGAAATTGAAAAGTTGTGCTTGTTTAGTCAATAATTTATGCACACCAGCAAGTTAAAAGTGCATTACGTCGTTTTAGAAATTCTGTAGGATTAAACTTGTTATAATTTTAATGAGAAATTATTTAAAGAAAAATATAACTAACTCAATAATCAATGACTACATTTTTAAACAATCTTTTTAATTGACTCAAAAAGGTCATTGTAAAATTTTAATTGTTTATTACGCCAAAGTGCTTAATGCTGCATTTTTCTTTTACCGATGAGTGAGCTTCGACATTTGCAAATGTTTTTAAATGTCTTAGAATGACAGAAAAGTGATGGTGTACCAGTCTTAATACATATCCAATATTTTGAGCATTCATCTTGGCAGCATTTATTTACCAATTTGTTGCACTGGTATTGGTTTCCAACTTTAATGAAAGACAAGTGTTTACAGTTGAAAGGACAAGTCTAAAGAAAGGAAACAAGCATAGTTAGTGCATTGCCATAAATAGGGGGAAACTAATGCTAAACTTATACTTACAAAGAATGCATGCATATTCCCAATAGTTACCTGAAGGGCTAACTTGAAATTTACTCCTTGAAGTCGTGTTATTATTCGAAATAACTTCAATGCTTTTGTAATAATGTTTTCGTATTTAGAAGACACACATACCATTTTATAGAATATGGAACCAAAATATTTCGTCTTTACTTTGAGCTTTGAGTAATCTTCAAAATTTTCGCTCAGTTTCTGTACATCTACTTTTACACTTTTTGCATTGGATTCGTTTAAGTTATAATCTGGTCGAGCTGATACGCACCACATCAGAAGAGTAAATATCAATAATTTAATGGCGTCAGTAGTCATTTTGTTTTCTTTTTCTTTGGCAACTTAAAAGTTCATATATATTTTAAATTTAATGTAAGTTAAAACCAAACACCTGTAAATTATTCGAGATTTCTCTTTTCTTACGTCTAGAGTCTGGAATTTTTTCTTAAATAATATCTTGCACATGTGCATGACAAAGAGCCAGACTCTAGTGGTCAAAGGATTGATTTGAAATTTAAGCCATGCATGCCGACTTTCAGGTTAAATACATATAATATGGCTTTGATAACGATTAAGAAACTCTCAGTTTCTTTATCACAAAAACGTTGGTCGAAAAATTTGTATTAAAGCTACAAAAGATGTCGACATTTAAAAGTATAAGTATAAGTTGGTGGAAAAAAAGACTTTAAAATGATTTAACGAATGCAAAGGCTTGTATTCAAATCAATATGTAACAATGGAATTGAAAAAGCGTGCTAAAAAAATTTTTTCATAATCCTGTGCAACTATGCAAAATATCAAGACAAGTTAACATGACATAATTTGATCTTCTCTAAGTTATCTCCTGTCAAATGTTTATTCTTCGTGAAGTCTTTGCATTCTGGTGGTACGCTAGTTTTATTTATATCTTTCACTAGTAATTATGTGCATTTTGTTAATCCCTACGAAACTGCTATCATTTTGCTTTGTTTGTCACGATGAATGTGTTTAAAACAATTGTTTTGATAACAAGTATTTTTTGACGAGGATTTTTTCTAGCAAGATAGGATTTGCTCACACAATGGGTGGTGTGCATATATTCTCCTGTGAAGTGAGATAACAATGGAATGATTTCCCTGTTGGATTTTATTTGCATTTTAACTATGAAAATTTCTTTTTTAAAGCAAACCAACATGGTGCCATGACGTAGAATATACCTAGCACACCTAGAATAGAAAATACATAAGGATTTATTGAAGCAACTGAGATATTAAAGCACCAAAATAAGCATACTCAAAATATTTCTTCCTCATTTTTTCATAAAGTAAAACAAAATCCAGTCAAAGTAAAAATTAGTTTCATTTGTTTGCTCGAACCCCATTAACACAAATCATGCCTGGCTTGAGTTCTTTTTGACGGTCGGTTTAAAAAGTTTTGAACCATTTTGTTTTAATTTTTTGTGAATATTAATGTTTTCTGTATGCTTCCAGTGTATATACGAGTTATTCAGTTTTGAGCATATCAGAACACCATAGCAAAGCTTATCCTGCGAATTTTATTTGTCAATAGAAGAAAATGCCACTCGACAAAGAGTCTTAATGTCAGGGTATATGTGTGTACATATCGTAATCAACATTTTTACCCCCCTTTGTTGTTGATCAGTAACATAAGACGATTTCTTCTCTTCGACTGATTTCTCAACTACAGCTACGTTTAACTAATTTCCAATTTCATTTCACCAAAACACCTCAGTTTACGCCTGACATGTACATGAATTTTTAAAATGCACGTGATAAAGAGGAGCTGGTGTATATAACTTCACATTCACATTTACCACTTTTTGCCGTCTTATTAAATCTGTTTCTCAAATTAGATAAAAAAAATAAAATAATCATTTAGCTTTCAACATTTTGTCGCGCTTAACAGTTTTAAGTTTGCAACCAGCAGTTTTCATCCCTTTTAATTTGTTTCTCGTATGCTAAATAGCTAAATTGCATTTTACTTTTATGTATGGTTCAACAAATTTATTTGCTCATAAAGTAGAAGATAGTGTTTTAATAATGGAACGAAAAATTTTATCCAAGTCAAAATTGAATTCTATTTGATAAAATTGTCTTTAAAAGGTGTGTTTTATAATTTTATTTAGTAAAAAATGAAGGATAAAACTTTTCCGAACAAGCTGAAGCTTTTATTTTTAAGTTTTAATTATGCCATGTTGGAAGTCAGATGGAAAAATAAATTATCACTACAAATGTGAGCTCCACCTGACGTGGCAAACATCATAATTTTTTACAGCCACTGTAAATAGTTGATTTCAAAACAAGCATATAGACAAGTTTATGTCCTAAAAGTGCAAAGAAATCACTGATAATAATTAAATGCATTGACTAAAAATGGCGAATTGGCCCCTTTGTTACATATAGACAGATGAAATTCAAAAACAAGCTGGAAAGCTCATAAAATGCCTTCTTTTAAGCACGGGGCATGACATTTCAATACATGAGGTAATTGCATCGCAAATTCCTTTTAAGTTTCTAAAATGTTATAGTATTTTAAAATGAGAACGATGAAAGTCTTTATGCGATTGTTCAATTTTTTCTCGTTTATTACACAAAACAATCCCTCTTAAATATCTTAATCCATGCAAGCATTACCTAAAAGGTTTATGGCGAATACCTATTGTATTAAGATAATAATAAAAAGAGATTACCTTAACTTTAACCTTTGGGAATAAAGAGTAAACCATATTTTTCTTTAACATGCCCAGCTGTTACTGCTATGAAAATAGAATACCTTCCTTTGAGTATTAGAGATTTGAATACTGAATGAGCTAATGCCAAGATAGAAGATATAAATTGGACGAGAATTCTCTTCCCAACAAATATACCGCTTTATCGCTAGAGAAAAGATCTACAAAAGAGAAAAGAACTTAGAAAAGATCAACACTTAAGGTATGAGGTAACAACGTCAGTGCTCTTCGATTTGATGTCCCGCATTGTTAATATTTTCTGTCTAATGCCAGAAGCAACAAAATGTTGTGTTAGAAGTTTCGTATTAAAAGGATGCTACCTTGAAATATGTTGTAAAGTTTTATTGTTTGTAAATATTTGATGTTCCTTTTAATGCATGATTCGAGCAAAAACGTATGAATTTTTATCAAGAAATTACACAAACAATTTGCACAACGTGCGAAATGCATCTTGTATAATAAAGGATCAAAAAATGGTAAACTTCAACCTTTATTCAAATATATGTGAAAATATTATGTTATAAGCCAACTTTTGACAAGCAAGAATTTTTCTAGTTTATCAAAGAAAATAATAATAAAATGAGTTCGAAAGCAATCAATCTCTTGATCTTTGCTGCCGTGATCTGGTGTGTAAATGCTGAAGAATATTCCGTAAGAAGAGTAGCCGAACCAACAAAAGTTATCCAATTTAAAGACAACTTGAACGAATATTCAAAGGAATTAGATAATGGCGAGCAGAATGTGAACGAAGTACATGAAGATGACTCAAATTTTAATGCAACAAAAATATTTCTGGCACCAATGCCACCTAAAAATGTACGTAAGCATGAGTTATTTGTAAACAAACGACAGCAATAACCGAGCTTTAGGAAATCGTTCTCACCAATTCTATTGAAACGAAATCCTCATTATATGAACGTAAAGGCATATAATTGAAACAATAACCTTTAACTGTTTTGACAAAACTGAGTGCATTTTACTATTTATGACTTTATGTATAACTTTATAATGTTGAAATTCTTAAATCCGTTTCACCTACGACGTCGTAAAATACCATTTTTTTATACAGCGAAGGAAAACTGCTCAATCACAACATATTTCATTATAGTTGACTAAACATGCTCATCCTATGACGAATATTTAAAAATTTGCTTAGTAAAATGCTCAATAACCTTCTTTTTATTTCTATAGGCTTGTCCATTTGATTGCAAGCAGTTGTGTATCAACAAATATGGAAAGTACTACAAATGTAACCTAAAGTTAAAGAACTGCTGCTTCATGAGTTGCTTAATTTATAAGAAATATTTAAAATTGGGTTTAAAACCTTGGCTCTGTTATGTTCTTACATTTGAAAAAATTTGCAAATGTCGAGGCTTACTCATAAACAAAGGCTAAATAAACAATCCACAGTTCAATTAAGCGTGATTAAAATTTAGCTTTTGAGTAGTTTATTGGTTAGATTGAAATGTTAAATTACACTTTATCATTTATAATAATAAAGATTTCAAAGAAATTGTTTGTTGTCTTTCATCCAAACGTCCCATGTCTTAGTTTGTCATCGCTTTACAAAAACCTTAACTAACTCATTGAACTTAACCTTTCGCAAAAAAACAAACAACATTAAGGAAATATGGTTAAATCAAAATTTCTTTCTGTGTAGTTAGTATATGTAATATAGAGTTCAAAGCAAATTTTCTTACATCTTGTATCCACTGTGCATTTGTATAAGAAGCTCTAATTGAATTCTACGAAAACTGTAAATGCATGAAAACTCTACTTCTGTAATTAAAAATCGAAACGTTGATGAAACACGCTAACTTTAGTCTATAGTAGTCAAAATCCTGTTGCTTAAATTTACCTTTAGCAGAACTGTCGAATTATTGGAGTAATCTTTTCGTCAGTTTCAAGAACGTTATATGTTTATGATTTGTATCATCTAAGATTTTTGCTTTGCGGTAAACATCGATAACCATATCGTAAAGGAAAAACGTAAGTCAACGAAGATTTTGAACACCAGCATGTGAGCGAACGCGCGTGTATTTAACACAACAAAATAATTTGTTTATATTTGTAAACGGTTGATTAGTATAAGTACAAAACTAATGCATGGAAAAATATAACTCTTAGCTCAAGTTTTAAGATTCAGTTTAAAGAAAACTTCGTTCTAAGGCTTTGACGAGCGACGAACGTTCGCTAAAATCGATGCAAAGCTCATTCACCGCAGCGTGAGCGTTTTCAACAACAAACATTTGTCTGTTCGCTGGTGAGAACTGCAATCTACAACTAATGCGGCCGCGAGCGAGTTTTTGTTAACGAACCCTACAGAGGCCGTTGTTGCTAACGAGCAAGAATCACCAAGCGAGATGTGTTCAAACCTTCTAAAGGGTCTGGGTCCTGGAGGTTAAGAGGGAAGCAGATAAGTTGGTCAATTTCAAACTGTCATTTGAACTATAGTTTTAAAAAAACCGTTCGAGTAGTTATTGTTTTCTTCTACTTCATTGAATGGAAACTAAAGTAAAAAATTCATGTTTGTCAACAATAAACTTTCAAGAGTTTTAATTGCTTGTGGAAAGAACTTTGCCAGAAGGCAGTCAAAATTTACATTTATTTAATGATGAAGAAATTTTGCTCTTCGTACTAGCATTATAATATAGTTATACTAAAGAAGACAAAGACGTTTAAGGGACTCTTATTTGTTTTCGAAATTTGTGATTTTCAGTTCTGCATCGTTATTTGCACTTTTGATATATATTTAATCCTAGCAGCAAAGAATCCAAGATTTTGTGCATGTTTATTGCTTATCGGTTCTCAAAGATCTTTGTTTCATTTTTACAAAAAGAATTTTTGTTGTCGAACAGGGCGACAGTTCTAAGGGGGATGAAGGGTTTGTCACACAAATCACAGAAATGATACTATACCTGGGAAAGTGGCGTACCTGAGCGCCAGAAGTAAGCTCGTAGAACTGATGATATGACTTGAGTGCGCCTGGAATAACCAACGTGAATGATGTATGAAATTATATCATAAATATTTTTATTGAAATTCCCCTTTTTCTTAAATATTTTATCAACTTATTTTAAAAGAGAATGTTCGAAGGTTTTTATTTGCTTTATTATGTTTTATGGCATTAAACAGTACAATGTCTCTTGTTCATACCTTAACCCTTGCAAGGATGACGTTAAAGCTTCATGAATAGTGCCTGGCTCGTGAGCACACGGTCGCTATCAGCAGTGCTATGAGCATAGTATAGAAACAAAGTGTAGTCCGACCTATAAAAATTTTTTGCTCAGTGCATATCGTATTATATGTTTAGCGCTTTGCCTATCCATGCAGATACGTTAATTTTAACCCCCCAGTGCAAACAAGGCAGATTCAATCATATGTATCATTGTTTTCTTCAGTCGAAAGAGGTCTTGCAATATCTTTTCTTTGCTTTTTTTCTTATTTTTTTATCTAGTCATCATGTCATCAATATCATTGGTAGTTTGTTAATTCATTTTCTTCAATATCCATATGTCTCTTGGCATAGCAATAATCATGGGTACTTGTCATGAGGCCATCTCCTTCATTCTACTATAAATAAATCTAGACATTACATTTCAAATACATATGTCTATTCTGGGGCAGCGAATATTTAAGAAAAGAAGTAACCTGTTTGGGAAAATACTATTCATCGACCTTAAATAGTAAGTTAAATATAACAACAAAAAACACAAATTAAAGGACACTAGACACATATTTGATCGTATGATCTTATACTCAATATGGCGACTCCTTCACTTTCCCCATGTGAGTGCGGTTTATAAAATCCCAAATATAAATGTTGTCAAAAACATTTTGTATTAAAACAATGTTCCAGTTCAAGCAGCAGCATCCAAAATACAATACTATTGATAAATTAACAGCATCTGCCATGTATTAAACAAAATCTTTCAACATATCCAATGAAACTTTGTTGTACGCAACTAAAAATCGCTCGTAAATTCTCTTGATTTAAAGGCCGCCATATTTCTCTCCGTTTATAGAAATATATTTTAAATTTTACTTTTCTTTTTTAGTGACTGACTTTTAAGCTAATGCTTTGTTTAACGACTCAGATATTTTATATTCAATTAGAAATGTTGTATTTTGCTCCGTGTTACCCCTAGCTTAGGGGCTGGTTACATGAGCCCGGTAGCCGGGATTCAGCAATGCGTTAAATGATTTTGGCAAATGAAAACGATTTAATATTTATCATCAGATGAATCTTTTTAATCAATTTTACAATATTATGAATTAATAACTTCTCAAAACATTTTAAATTGAAACAATCAATTTTCCATAGTTTGAGAATTACAACCAGAGTCACGTGTGATGCTTTTCAAACGGTTTTTAATTTTTAACCTTGAAGTGTTAGCTCTTTTCAATTCCTATGAAATCATCGGGCTAGCATTTTTAGGAAATAATCAACAATGAGTAACAAATTTCAACCCATAGCTTTTGCTACCACTGTTCGTCTAAAATTCTAATTGTGTACACATTTATCCTTTGTAGAATAATAATGCGTTTGTGATTTAAACAATATGATGCTTTCTGCTATTGTAAAATTTTGTGCTTATAGATGACTTGCCTTGTTTACGTTTTGTTTGAGGGGGTGATTAATGCCAAGAAAGGTAAATCATCTTTTGTTGTTTGTACTGTCCAAAATCATTTTATCAAATCTTCAAATTTGTAGCACTAAATGTTAGAAGCTTTATTTTGCACGCATGCATTCATATCATTAAATGCTAACGAAATAAAAGTTGAAAGACTTAAAGTTAAAAAACTTTCTCGCAATCCTTAATTACAACGTTAAAAAACACAAATAATAAGTTGTATTTTAATGACTGTTGGCAGTTGTCATATATTCTTTTACTTGTTTCAAAAGAAGCCTGACACTCTTGTGCTTTTAAACGTCCCATGGGTAGTTTCTTTCCTAATTCAACAAAACACAACACAATTCCATAGCACTCAAATATAGATTAAAATATGTGAAAAAGAAAGTAATTGTTATAGATGTGATGATTGAGTGGTTTTTAGCCAATGGGGATGAAGAAAAAAATTAACTTTGTCCACCAAATCATCGATGCAGCAATATTAACGTCATTTATAATGCATCATTATGTATGTTTGAAAAAATTATATAATTTTGTAAGAAGTGTATGATATAAATAAGGTTGATTTTCTCACCATAGACTACACATTGATCAAAATCCAGGAGGAAGAGATATCTGAAAAAAGGGAACCAAATAAAGAACAACATTAAAGGTAGGTTGAAACAATTTATGTGAATTGACATATAGTTATTGTGCGTTGTTTCATAAAATGAGACAAGGAATATGGTCATTTTCTCATATTATAAATGCACCTGATACTACTTTATTTTAACAATCATCGCAGCTCATAGTATTATCGTTTGTTAAGTGTGGTAAAATGCAGATGAACTCCATTGTTGTTCTCCTAACAAATAGTATTGCATGTGTTCCCGTGAAATAAATATGGCTCTTAAATAAATATCGAGCTTTTGTTGGGAAACTTTAAATTACTTAATTTTTTTTCATTGGCATCAGATGAAATGGAAGGTTTTTGATAGCAGTATAAGGTTTGAAATGGAACTAAATAGATAGTTGGAACAAGTTATACAATTTAAAGGAAAGTCCATATACGGTAGAAATAATAAATGCACGTCTCAAAAAGCATCCATCCATATTTGATTTTTCCACTTTCCTTATGACTTAAGCATGACATGAATTTCTGATTTGTTTGTAGAAAACTTAGCAAAATGCACTTAAACACCATGAAACTCTTGATCTTTGTTGTTGTGATCTGCTCCACATCAGCTATACTAGGTACAAGTTTGAAAAAAGCTGAGGAAATGAAAGTGAACGAAGATACCCAGAAATTACTCCACAATGCCAAAAACGATCCGAAAATAAAATTTACGGCGAAATATATACCATACGGAAAATACAAAGTGGTACGTGGAGACTCCAAGCAAACAACAAAAACACGACTCCACACAATCTTTTTCACTTCTTTAAATTTTTTGAACTGTTTTTGAATAACGACAAGTTTTTGAAACTGATATTTGGCTCTTGCACTTGCTAAATCCAAAATCCAAGATCCAAAATCATTCGCAAAAAAAATTTGCAATAAAAGAAGGCGTAGAAAGACGTATTGGTTGATAGCAATCGCTTGAATTTTAATGCATTGACTACAATTTAACAAGTCAACACTTGTCAAATAGTCTGCGTCATGCATTTAGTGCCAATACTTCCGGGAGTTATGCGTTGCTTCATTGTATTCATGTATACCATCGTTCGTCTTAATGAAAATATTATCATGCTTGATTGCTTTTAGATTTGTCCATTCGTAT